ACCCCCCCCCCCCCCCCTCTCCTCCTCTCCTTTCATAGTCTTCTGTCTTCCACGATACCCCGCCCTCCCCTGTATTCTATTTCTCTGAGTTCCTCAATAAAGAATTTAACAATAAATAAGTGATTACCCCCCTGAGACTTCAGTTTTGATTATTACAAAAGCAGGTTTGGTTTTGAAGCGGGAAGTTCAGCATTGGGAGTAACTCTAACCGGCTCGTGGTTGTGAAAGAGTTAACAAAAAGTGGTCATGGTTCCTTCAAGATGGTGGTTGTCATTTGTGCAGTGTGCTAACAAAAAGAGTCACTTTTTGCTATCCATGAATGGAGATTTTGCCCAAAAATCATCACAAGGGTCAAATTTGTAGATTTTTCAACTAATGCCATTTTGTTTGCGTTTTGCGTCTTTTATCATTTTAAACTAATAAATTGTAAAAACAAACAAATTTTTATACTATAAATTTGATGAATCTGTAAACATTTATCCATTGGGTGAAAATCCAAGATGTAACTCATTTTGTCAGCACTCCTCCATTTGTCAGTATTAGAGTTCAAGTACTTATGTAATAGGAAAATCACCCACCAAAAATGCTTTTCGCAACATGCTCAGTACAAACTTATACAGACTTTCTGTGGTTTTCTCAAATCTTTGTATGCATCACAGAAAAATACAAGTTCAGTTTTTGGGATACCTAAATAGACAGAAAGGCCTTGAACATCTAGCTCTCACAAGCAAAATTGAAGGCAAACGAGGCAGGGGTAGGCCCAGAGCATCCTACTTGGAGAACCTAAACAAATGGGTGACAGGGGAAGATGAGGGTAATGTAGCTTTTGTGAGAGGATCAGCGCAGAGTGGAGGAATGAAAGGAGAACCATGATTGAAATGTGTCTATCACAGATAATGATGATGATGATGATGATTGCTGTTTTGATAGTTTGTGATGACATTTGAAAAAGTAACGAATAAAAATTGCAGCTGTCGGAGTTATTACTGTAGTTTGTTTCTTTTCATCCAGGCCCCACCTCGTATGACTGTGACTTTGAACAGAACACGACTTGCCAGTGGACCCAGGACACTACTGACGATTTCAACTGGGATATTCAGAAAGGCAGAACAAATTCTTACAACACTGGACCTTTGGCAGATCACACATCTGGAACTGGTTAGCCCTTTGAAGTACTAGAATACCAGTGTGTGTGTGTGTGTGTGTGTGTGTGTGTGTGTGTGTGT